GCGTTCGATTCTTCTCTCGTATCGTACGCGTAATCGAGGTGAAAAAAAAAGAAAAAAAAAAGGAAAGAAAAGAACAAGAAGAGAAGAGAAAAGAAGAGAAGAAAAGAGAAGAGAGAAGAAAAAAAAAGAAAAAAAAGAGAAGGCAAGAAAAGAGGAGAGAGAGAGAGAGAGAGAGAGAAAAAGAGAGAGAAAAAAAAAAGAGAAAAAAAAGCTAACGATCGAATGAACACCGACGTTGTGCACTTACGTTAGAGAGCCGTTCTGTCGGGGAAACGAGCGGGGGCTCCCAATATAAGCGCGTGCAACGTGATCCTAGAATGTAACGAGCTCGACGATTGGCCCGTCATTTCGGCCAATAAGAGAGCACGTTAGTTCCTGGGCCAATCTACCTTTTTAGGTGGAGATGATACCAAAAGTGTGACAAGGGGTGGCCACGGAAAGCTACAACCGCCTCGATCGGCCGAGTGAGATGAAAATAGATGTGGAAAGAAGACAGCCGACCACTTTCAACGGGCTCGTTTTCTCCCATGTCCATTTTTTTCGATTCCTCTTCCTTCGACCCTCTTTTTCGATCCTTCTTCCGCTCTTTCTCTCTCTCTCTCTCTCTCCCTCTCCCCCTTCCCCTCCCCCGAGATAAACATCGGCAATCGGTTGCTTCAAATCGGTCCCTCCCTTCCCAATTTTCCGATCGACCGATCCTACCTACCTACCTACCTACCTACCTACCAAGTTTTTCATATACATCAAGATCACCGCTGCTACACGTGGAACACGCACGTGCTCGATAATAGCCGCACATCTCGCGCGGACACCAATTTCGCCGATAAATTATTATTCGCCTCGCCTTCTCGCTTCCTTCTCCTCTTCACTATCCTGTTTAAAAGAAAAGAGAGATAAAAGATTACATGTCAGAATAGAAAACACGCGTCGGAATGTCTTTTCGCGCTCCCGTTATACTCGTAACCCGCGTATGTTTTCGATTATTACGTAACGAATCGTATGCCAAAGATTGGAAAAATTCATCTTTTTCAAATCTTC